CGAAAATAAGCACATAGAATGCAAATATGTAAGCTGTAAAATATGTACTTTAATATGTAAATATATGAGCAGTTCAACAGCGCGTATTTAACAAGGTTTATAATCAATTGTTTTGTTAGGTTTTGGTGTTTAAACCGCTTGGACAGAAGCTGTCACAACTGGGACATTAATATTTCTTCACTCCTGTGAATACCCATATTATATGGAAATAATATACATACAATATCTATCTATAATGTCTTTCTTTATTTCTATGAGTTAGTCTTATATATATGTGTACTTATCTATATTATTTGGAAATAATATAAGATACTCATAGGGCAATATTAATCTCAGTTTTTCTGGTATATAATGTATATTCATTTTGAGGACATTCTTTTTTTTTAATGGCAATACTAAAATAGTTTTTTTATTCTTAAAGTAATTCCTTGTAACAACGCTTCTTCCATTCATTATTATAGTTGGATTAGTCATGATGATTTAGCAAACTTTATTGCAAGTCAGAAAGTACAAAACTTTTCAACCCATAAAACCTTTGTGGCTTTGACGTGGAAATTCCTTTGTTTGAAAATAACCTGCACATGTTATGTGTTTTAACTTTTAATCTTTATTACACGAGTATTGAAGTCGCAAAGTTATTTACAAATTGCGTCATTGAAAAGTTTCCTGTGTAAATATCTGTGGGTTGCTTGCTACTTATAAACTAAGTCCGTTCGTAAAGTTCTAAGTTTAGAATATGATTTTTACTACTTTTTTTCATCCGCTGTTAATTTCAGCCCAGAGAAAAAATATAAGAGAATAAATTATAAGAGATCTTTACAGTGTTGTTATTCAAATTCTTTAGTTAAATCCAATTTTATAAAATTTCCATGTTTTGGTTCGTGTGATTTTTTATTTTCTACCGACTTCAAAAAGGAGAAGGTACTTAATTCGACTCTATGTTTTTTACCACATAACTTTTTTCTGGGTGAACCGATTTCGATGATTCTTTTTTATCTGAATACTGGTGCTTCTCTTGTAGTCTTATATAAATCGATTGATCAAGGTCTGACCAATAGTTTTTGAGTTATTCTTAATAATTTATATTAAAGTCGATTGTACAAAATTTATAATTTTTATTATGTTCGTAGCATGCGTTAAATACCAATCAACAAATCGATAGTTAAAGTTGTCTCACTGCGGTGGATGCGATTCTCGATAACTTTTCGAATACAATTATTTTCACGATATAAAATATAGATTCTACATTAAGTTGGCTCTTGCTTTTATGTGATAAATCATAAAACGCACGAGTCTCTAGTGCGGTCAAAGCAATATGAGGATTTACTTCAAGGAATATAAAGCTAAAGTGGTGAGTTGTGTTGCATAATAAAAATAATGACTACTTTCATTAGTGTTTTATTCTTATGGGCCACCTGTAAAATGTTAGGGACCTACTTCTCCACAGCTAAATAGATAAATAATGTGTTTTCTTTATTACGAACACATATATTTAAGAATGCTTAAGTTACGTTTTCCCAAATGTAATCCATTTTGATATTTAAAATAAAATATTTTTATGAGATACAATGCCGTGAAGTGACGGCGTAAAAAAATCCACTACCCTAAATCGTGGGAGTTGTAAGAGGCGTCAGAAAAAAATGAAACAGGAGATGAGCAGTAGCCTTCTGATAATCCTTCTTTTCTTCAACTGAGTTTGCCAACTCTGCTTTCAAGCTAGACAACTATGGCAAATGTACCCTTATAAATCTACGAGTATTTTAGTGGGAGGCCTATCTTCAGCAGTGAACTTACAGGCTTTAATGATGAGTGATAGTGATGTAATTACAACTATGCAACATTGCTGACTCTTTTAACTATGTATAATTAAACGATATATTCCCTATATTCTATTTTTCTATTTTAGTTTCCCTTTGGCGCCCCTTACGACACCCACGGGACGTTATGGGGTAATGGATATTCTTATACCGCCACTAAGCGATATATTTGATTAAGCGTAAAAGTATACGCTTTTCGTAAAATAAATTAGGACTATAAATACATTAGGACTAACAAAGGTTATTACTCCGGCTTTTTTAATTATTTATTTAAACTTTTATGTATAAAAAATAAATTCGTACATATGGCGGACTTAATGCCTTAAGCCATCCTCTCCCAGTCTACCATTAGGCTAAGCAGAGATAAACATATGGGAGGTAGTGCAGAAAAACTAAACTAATAATGAGAACTAGTCACTTAAATGTTACATGAATAAACATGAATATGCAATCGAATTGATTACCGCCTCCTTTGTTTGAAGTCAACTAAATGCTTTGATGATACTGAAATTCCTTAATTTCAGTATGATCAAAGCAAACCTAACATGTAGGAGTCATATAGGTACAAGTAAAAAGAAATGATTTTGCATTTGTGAAATTTGTATGTAGTATCTCCTGAAAGTGTTTTGAGCCGACTTGAAAAAAAAGGAGGTAAGCTCTCAATGCGACTGTATGTTCTTTTTTGTATGTTCCGCAATATCTTCGTCAAATCGATTTTTAACTTTTTTATTATAAACTAGTTAAATGTCCAGAGTACCATGTTATTTTTAAAATGAAATTTTTAATGCAAGTAAGTATTTAGAAGATATTTGAGTTTTTGACATTCCTTAATCTACTCATATGGATGAACTAAGTAAGACTAAAAACCATCTTCAAAGAACTAAGAAAAATTAAATAATTTCTACATAATTATGGATATATTATTTTAATTTCTTGAATGGGAACAAATGAAGGTGGTATATTTTGAACTAGACAAAAAAGTCTTATTAAATCTCAGAGATTAGTTATAACATGTTGTAAAATAAAAATATATACCTTAAATACACCGTAACTTTGTTACAACTTGCCCTCACAATATGATTTTTGAACATTCATCATCACTATTATCATTACAGACCTACATAAGTCAAAACTGCTGAACATAGGTTTGGGAGCCGAAGGAATGCCACAAAGCACGGTCTAAAATTAATAAAAATCAATAAAAGAATATATTATTTTTGAATCATCAAAAGAAGTCTCTTTCGTGGTAGAGCCATGCTGCAGCTATATTAGTAGTATAGTTGTAGCACGAATGGGTCGGCTCGTCCGGGGTAGAACCACGCTCTCTTCGAATACCTGCATAAAATAACTGCTTAACACTGCTGTGTTTCGTATAGTGAGTGTAGAGTGCCGGAGACCCTTTTAACTCGAAAGGAGCCTTCCATCTTAGACCTTACGGGTGACAATGCATCTGCGTTTTGATTCGCACATGATGATAGATGTCTATGGGCCACAGCAACCACTTACCATCAGGTGGACTGTGTGCTCGTTTGTCACCCTATCCTATAAAAAAGAGTCAAAAACCGCCAGAACAGCTTGATCGGCCGTTTGTAGGGACACTCATAGGCAAATTGTAGTGCTTTTGTAATAGAACGTAACATGGGATATAACTTAGTCTTAAATCCATTAAAAGTGGGTATTCTAGGTAAAATTTGGGTACATGAGTGCATATCGTAAATAAACGTGCATTATTTTCCTTTTGTAATACAACGTTGGTATTCGTTAATTGTTTAGTATCATTATTTTGTAATATTACGTACTTATATGACGAGTATGTTATTTGAATTTGAAATTAAAATTATAATGTGTAATGGCGGCGTAGTAAAATCCACTACCTACCTCTTATCATCCCGTGGGTCTCGTTAGAGGCGACAAAGGTAAATGCAACAGTCACCTTGTTCTTTCAAATATTAACAAACTTTAATCTTCCAGCGCACAAAGGCTCCAGAATGTACGCCTCCGTGTCGTCGGGTGCAGCCATCTGCCCGTACACCCGGCACACCGAAGCTCCCTGGCCTGGCTTCGGTCGCCAACAATGGAGATGGTAAGTTTGTTTTATTACACACGATCGTACAAATTTATGAAAAGATTATCGGAATGAGTAAGGCAAAAACTATAAAGGTCCAGATTATGTTTAGATTACAGTTTTGTAATGTGTTACACTTTTTACATATTTCTAAATATTGTCATGCATTTTCCACTATGTAAAAAGTGTATTATAAAAAAATGAAGAATATTCCTCTTAATTCCTTGTTTATAAACATCACTATCAATAGTTTTCCTATTAGAGTATTTACTTCATATTTAAGTAACAGAACTCAAAAAATCGTGATCAATGGAAAAGTTTCCTCCGGATCAGTAGTATCAATGGGCGTTCCTCAGGGGTCGATTCTTGGCCCATTCCTGTTTTTAATCTATATTAATGACTTACCTTATCTTGTAGGGGACAATCACGACATAGTATTATTTGCTGACGATACCTATTTAATTTTCAAACTGAAACGGCAGTTAATTAATTATGACGATGTAAATAGTGCTCTATCGAAATTGGTACATTGGTTTGACGCCAACAATATGCTCTTAAACGGCAATAAGACAAAGTGTATTAAATTTACAATACCTAATGTAAAACATTCGAATACCTAATACAATGTGCTGTTAAATGGGGAGGAGTTCAGTCTTGTGGATGCCACTGTTTTTCTTGGTATTACTGTTGACGCGAAACTTCAATGGAGGCCCCATATATCTAAATTAGCAAGCAGACTTAGTTCTGCAGCATATGCTGTAAGAAAGATTAGAAGTCTCACAGATGTTGAGACAGCTAGATTAGTGTATTTTAGTTACTTTCATAGCGTAATGTCTTATGGAATTTTGCTATGGGGTAATGCGACTGATATTGAAGCCATATTTGTTTTGCAAAAGAGAGCCGTACGGGCGATTTATAATCTAAATTGTAAAGAGTCCCTCAGAGAAAAAATTAAAGAAATAAATGTATTAACTTTGGCATCTCAATACCGGGTGCTTCAAAAAAATGTATACACACTTTGAACTTCCATAGAAAATTTATTTACCGTTCTACAAAGTTAAATTTCAGGAAAATAGAAAGCTTAAAGTCCAATGTAAATGAAACCTAAATAACAAATGTTAATACTGTTCAAATTGGTGACCTGCAGCATCAATACAATTCTGAGTACGAGTCACCACAGATTCTGTACATCGTATCAAAACGTCCAATGAGATTTCTCTACACACTGCTTGAATCTCATTCCAAAGAATGTCTAGGTTACGTGGTTTACGTTTGTACACCTCATCTTTTACTGTGCCCCACAAGAAGAAATCCAGTGGTGTAAGGTCTGGAGAGCGTGCTGGAAACTCGATTGGCCCCCTGCGTCCTATCCACTGACCCGACAAATTTTGATCCAGGTAAGCTCGTACGTCCCTGTGATAATGCGGCGGAGCACCATCTTGTTGAAAATAAAAATCATCATTACCGTATAATGCACGAATGGCAGGAAATATGGAATCAGCAAGCATTGTTAGGTAATTAATACCAGTTACAGTGCCTTCAAATCGAAAAGGTCCAATGAGTCCCCTTGAAGACAAACCGCACCACACATTTATACCAGGCAAATTTATAGCTTTTTCAATTGTAATGTGAGGATTTTCTTCACTCCAGTAAACACAATTGTGCCTATTGACAGTTCCATTAAGTTTGAATTGGGCTTCATCCGACCAAATGATGCTACCCATAACTCTCCACTGTCTTTGAACTTCATTTACATTCTCAAACTTCCAGTACCACTTAATAACCTGCTTACGTTCTTCAAAACTCAAACGTACGTCCCCCATGTTGATATTACAAATTCCAACTGATAATATAACATAGAGGGACGATTATGCTGGCACCTGGCGAAGAAATATAACATTAGCCTTGTAGAGCGGAAAAACTACAATAGTTTAAAGTGTGTATACATTTTTTTGAAGCACTCGGTATATTTATGAGAATGTAATGTATGTGCATAAAAACATAAATAGCTTTAATAAGAATAAGGATGTGTATACTTTAAACACTAGGAACAAACATAAGCTTGTAATGCCAGTTACTAGACTCCACAGAATTAGTAATTCATTTATGGGGCAATGTATACGCTTTTACAACAAAATCCCAGAACATATTCAAAGTTTGCCAATAAACAAGTTTAAAAGTTTTATTAAAGAAAAACTGTACAAAAAGGGTTTTTATAATATCAAGGAATACATAAATGAAAATAACCCCTGGAAATAAGGTGATCGCCACCATGCTGGTTCTATGAAAAATCATTTAAAAATTGTATAAACGAAGTTATTGTTAAGTGGAATATGTTTGAAAAAAAAGTCCCGCTGGGTTTCTTTTGGTTTTTCCCAGGACTGAGGTGTTTTCCGAACCAGTGGTAAATAATAATAATGTTACTTTATTTGCTCTCACAAGTTTACATTGCCTTTTAATAATAGGTATTGGAGGTATAACCATTTTAATTTGTGAGAGCCTGGTGTTAGTACTAGGAAATACCTGTATGACTAATCACCAGACTCTCGTCCCTTAATGTAACATTTATCAACATACCTTTAACTTTAGTACACTTCGTGCGACAATATGATTTGTAATTGCAATTTCTGTTTTATAAATATTATTAACAATAATTAAAGTTACAATAAACGAGAAAGAATAAAAAAAAAAAAACAATTTTAAAAACTAAAAACTAATTTACACGTGAGCGGTGTGTGTGTGTGTGTGTGTGTGTGTGTGTGTGTGTGTGTGTGTGTGTGTGTGTGTGTGTGTGTGTGTGTGTGTGTGTGTGTGTGTGTGTGTGTGTGTGTGTGTGTGTGTGTGTGTGTGTGTGCGTGCGTGTGTGTGCGTGTGTATGTGTGTATGTTTGTATAATATTTTAAATAATGGGAGTTACTAGGGATTCTGTTTCGTTGTAGTTTAAGCCCAAAAGCCATTCCGTTACTCTTGTTTTTAAGGAATATTTATTCATACAATATATTGGAATAGCCTTATTTATCCTGTTGTAAAGAAGACTACCAAGATAACAAAAGAATTTACGAGAAAAATTTGTATTACATTTTTGACTTTTACAAACTATCTTACCTCTTCCTGAGATTGGAGAAGACATGCTATTGTATGGTAGCGAAGAATGTTTTTTTAAAATAGTTTGTAAAATAAACATTTGCCTAACAGTAAGTACCCTGCAACGTTTGTATAGTTCAGCCGTTGGAAATAAAAATGGCAATGAAAACCCAACTTTTAGAATGGCTCTTTGCGTGCGTTCCAACCCTATAAGACGGGTTTTTGCTGCACCACCCCATGAAGTTATACCGTACAGCAAAAGAGATTGCACAAAAGCAAAATAAACAGTTTTGATCAATTTTGTATCCGAAGCATTTCTAAGGTTTTTAAAAACATAAATCAACTTTCTCAATCTAGATGCCAGTGTAGCTATATGTTTTTCAAACGTTAAGTTGTTATCTATTATAACACCAAGATATTTAACGTACTCAGATTTCTCGATAGTTGGACAGGCACAATGCATAATCGAGTCTGAGGTAGTCTGAGAGTTGATAAGGTAAGAGTTACAGGCAAAACAGGAGTGTACTTTTAGATGGAGGTGATCAAGTGAAGGCTGATCTTGTGCTCTGATGGAAAAAGTTAAAAATTTAGTTTTTTCAATATTTAAGGTAAGTACGTTCTTGTTTAGCCAGTTTACAACAATATTTAATCCTTTTTGAGCATTACTAAATGTCTGGGGCCAAGAATCACCATCAAAGAGAAGTGCCGTGTCATCAGCAAAGGTAATTATTTGTCCATTTGGAAGATTAAGATTGCATAAGTCATTTATGTAAGTTAAAAAGAGCGTAGGGCCTAGTATACTACCTTGTGGTACACCAAAACTAACAGGCAACTCTTTACTCACATAGTCTTGCACTTTGACACACTGAGTTCTTTTCTGCAAATAATCCCAGAAAAGTTTTAGCTGGAAATCACGGATGCCTAGGCTTTCTAGTTTTTTTATCAGTATGGGCAATGAGACTGTGTCAAACGCTTTGGCTAGATCAAGGAAAATGATCAGTACTTTTTTCCTAGCATCCAACTTGGTGACAACAAAATTGGTTACGTTATGAATGGCAGCTTCAGCGGATTTGCCCGTCCTAAACCCAAATTGGTTGCAAGATATTAGGCCGTTTGTTTCTAAGTATTTGATCAATCTGGTGTTCATAAGGCGCTCAAGAATTTTGGACAAAGCTGGAAGAATGGATATTGGCCTGTAGTTACAGACACAGTTCCTGTCGCCAGCTTTGAAGATGGGATGGATCAGTGATTTTTTAAACGGCATGGGAAAGACTGCTGTTGTAAAAGAAAGATTACAGATGTAAGTAATGGGTGGGACTAATATATTCTTGAAGGTCTTTATAAAACTTGTTGATATATTATCAAGGCCTACTGCGCAATCGGATTTTAAGTTCGAAATTATACCTAGTACTTCAGATTCTGTAGTTGGTAGGAGTACAAACGATGAAGGAGTAGAGTTATAATTGATGGTAGAGGTTAGGTTAGGATCATTATTCAATATTTTTTCAGCTAATGTCTTACCGATATTAACAAAGAACTGGTTTGCCGTGTTTACAGCATCTACTGGGTTTGCAACATTTATTAACTCAGATGGGGGCACTATTTGTTTTTTTGTGTTTGTTATAATTTTGATCGTTTCCCATAATTTTTTATTATTCATTTTTGCCTTTTGCAATTCAGCTTTCTCGTATTCCGTTTTAAGTCTCCTCAGTATATTATTGCAGTAATTCCTATATCTTTTATATGTTACTTTTAAAACTTCATTTTCCATATTGTTTTTAAATTTTTTATGTAGTTTGTCCCTGTTTCTCATACATTTCAAAAGTCCTGGTGTTATCCATGGTTTTAAAATTCGCTTACGATTAGAAATTTTAATAGTTTTGGTGTTGGTTTTTATGATATTACTTAAGGTATCGATTAAATAATTCACTGCAAAATTTACATCTGTTGTATTAAAAATTGGACTAAAATCAATATATTCAATCATTTTTGCTAATGAATTGTAATCTATTTTGTTTATTGTTTTGGGCCTTGGGCTAGTTATTAAATTAGTATCTAAGTAAAGGATGGTAGTAAAGTGATCTGTAATTGATGTTTTTATAACATAACAATATGCCTTCCCTTTAGATTTTATTAAAAAGTGATCAAGACAGGTGTGGGAGTGTGTGGGTAAATTATGCGCTGGAAGAAGGCCATGAGACGCCAAAAGATTGAGGTAGGATTCACATCGATTGTCATTATTAAATTCTGCAATATCAATGTTTATATCTCCCGTAATAACAATACTACCAAACGATGCACATTGTTCTAAACAATTATTTAAAGTTGTTATAAACCTGTCTATATTATAATTTGACGGTGGCCTATAAATTGCCAAGATAACAATTTTTGAATTTAACGTTATTTTCAGACAGTTTGCATCAAGTAACCCAGCCTCTTCCACTGTTATATTAAGATTTTTTTTATAGTATATGACTATACCTTCATTTTGTGAATTATTATTTAAAGAGTTACAGGAAAAATAACCATTTATGGTGGGTATATAAGGCGAACGAGAAAGCCAACATTCCGTTAAAACAATAATATCGTAATTTACGTTGCTTCTGGCAAGTAGAGTGAGAAAGTTTGACATGTTTCGTTGAATACTTCTTATATTTTGATGTAGTATTTTTAATGGAAAATTAGAGTTGGGTATTGGACACCGACAGTCTTCTATATTATCAAGTATGAAGGAACTAGCTACAGCCAAATTATCTAAGTCATTATTTATTTTTTTAAGATGATTGAATGTTATTGATAAAAGCTATATATATTACGGAACGTAGAAACCACAAAAATTTATATCTTATATGGTAACGAAAAATACTTATTTTGAAAGTTTTATGTACGATGATAATATTATTTAAAGATATAGGATATAGAGGAGCAGCATTTATGTTGGTAATATTTTGTTCAATTCTGAAAATTATACGCTTATTATTTACAAGGAATGGGCGAATAGAAGTGTGTTTAAATTCAAATGTAATTAAAATATGTAGTAAAATTAAAAACAATGTAGTAAAAGTAGGGTATGTGATTCGCAATTTAAGTTCAAGTATGATATGTATACTATAGACAATAATCATTATGTGTTTTTGATTGTAATTATTCATTTCTTGTACTATTGCTCGATAAATACATAAAAGTAGCATACAAATGTATTTTTTATTAGTGTGCTTTCGGCTTAATAAACAAAAGAGAAGATTTTTGTGTGATATAGTATGATTGTGACATGGTATGAGGATATTATGAGTTTGTATTAAATAGTGTAAGCGCTTACTATAATATTTAAATGTGGTATATATATAAAAAATTAGTAGAAAAATTAAAGTTAGTCATTTAATTAATCTATGTAAGTCTTCTTCTTTTTCGATTCTTATAGCAGGTTTTCCTTCTTCTTTACGTGCGTACACCTTTCCAAATGCCGTCCAACAACCAACAATTTTTTTCGACCTGTGTAACTCTCTTGCTAAGTAGTGTAAACGCCTGGCTTTGGATGTCAAAAATTCTGTAACATAAATATTTTTTTGCACTCCGTTTGTAAATATGTTCAACGTATTTAGTTGACGTTCATTTTTTTCCTTCTTTGTTCTATTGTATTCCTTAATTTTTTTAAGAAAATCTTCTTTACGACTTGTTGACATGTAATCGATGACGATAGTTTGTGTTTTAGTACGATATATATCTCTTATTTCCGCGT